AGCTTTCCTGGAAATTGGCTCGAGGGAGGTGAAATGGATCTCATGTTTTACCAGAAACGGACCATATTTCACATTATGGACCGTTGTATTCGCCTGGCAGCAGGCCAAGAGATTTCCGACAGAGAACGTGACACTATACTCGACGCCTACCACTATTGCTGGATTGCCTATCATGGACCCTTCAAAGTCTTGTACTCAGATGGAGAAGGCGCCCTGAATAATGACACTGCCAAGGCCATGATGGCGAACAAGGGTACAACACTCCGTATCCGAGCGCCGAGCCAACACGCGACGTCGATCGAGTCACGTAACGGTATTCTCAGGGGCGTTCTCCACATGATTGAGGAAGAGCTGAACAGACACAACATCTCTGATGTATTCACTAGAGTATTGGCTGAAGGCATCTTCGTCACTACCGCCTTCACGTTTTACAACGGAGTATCGCCATACCAAGCACGCACTGGACGACAGCCCTCCTTTCTTCCTGACCACGACACCTTCGATTTCCCTAAGGGGCCCGAGACGCCAGGTCACGAACGAGAACGTCGTGTGATGGAAGTTAGCCTAGAAGCAATATCCCAAGCCACGGCTGTGGCCAAGACAAATCGTGCTCTCAGGGCTAAAACGGCTCCAGATGGTGCTCGCCTTTACTCAGCAGGGGATCTGGTTGACTACCATCGACCTACTGCCACTAAGGACGATCATGGAGGCTGGAATGGCCCATTTCCTGTGATCCGTAACGTGCCTGAAAGAGGACACATCGTCGTCAAGGCAGGATCTCGTGAGGTAATTGTAATGCATCCTGATGCTCGACACACGCTATACATTGAATGCCTCCTTACACGGGAACTTGGCATGGGCAACATGGCCATGCAAACCGTCCTTACATATGTGGCACACCTTGGTGCAGGGAAACCTGCCGAAGTCTTCGGCTACAGTCCAGACTATAGGGGGGGCCTCAATCTTTCAGACGACAGCAAGTTTCACCCTCGCGTACATCTTGCACTACAGTATCGCGTGCGAAATTATTTCCGAGTTGAACATGTAGTAGCAGTTAGACTGGCCAAAAGTGTGTCCTATCTACCTGCAGTAAAGTACGCCACCGGGTCTACGCTGATCCACTGCGATAACGACGTCAACCCAGCCTTCCACTATTATGAGTGTGTGGGCACTGGCCTGAACATTTCTCAAATCATTGGTAGCACTCACTCCAGACTCATCCAATGCTTGACATCACATGTTCCGTCCTTAGGATTTCATGACGACCTGGCCAAGTATCAGCACTCGGGCACCACGTCTGGAGAACACGACCCGCCTGGAAACAGGCCTCCACCAGACACCCCAGGTGCTCCATCACCAAGTGAAGGCCGTCTGTCTACAATCTACGAAGAAACGAGGAACATGATATAGAAGCCATGATGCTGGAGGAGTGGTATGATGAGTTACGTATGGACCTTCATCCCACGACGATCACCGACGATCATCTTTACTGCGTCCCAACAACTATGCTGCCCGACCGATGTGTTTTGGTTTCAGCATCCGTGGACGAAGAAGATATCGTAGGGTCGGAAACGCTCGGAGACGAGCCTGAACCACAAGAGCCCTGTCTTGTCTCTCTATGCTCAACCACACCTGACGAGGGTTATTCTCTTGACCGTGATGAACATGGTCCTTATGTTGAGTTATGTTTTACCCCAGAAATGTCAACGGTAGTGTTGGCTCAGACTCAACTTGCACAGCTCGACACTGGTATGGTCGCAGCGATGAGAGTATACGTCTCCTCGGCTGTTAAACGTGCTGTGGTAGTTAAGGAAGACGACCTACTCACCAAAGCCGACATAGCAGCACACCCTTAAGAGGTTAGTGAAGATTTGTACACCGAACTCGAGATCTGGCTTGATAACCGGTGCTTTGAGATGTATGACCTATCTAAAGCTTCCAACATCATGACACCCAGGTATGTATATATGTGGAAGTTTGTGAAGGTAGGTACCGAGAACGTTAAAACCATCCGTCTCAGACTTGTCCTTCGTGGATTGATGGACACTGAGGCGTTCGATGTGGAAACCTTCTCAGGAACTGCTCGAAGGCAGTCCCAGAGGCTCCTGGCAAGTGAGGCGGCATGCCATCCAGAGTGGATCTTAGCATCCATGGATATCGACAAAGCGTTCCTCAAGGGTTTGACCTATGAGGAACTCGCTCATGCCATCGGCGAGGAAACTCGCATGGTTTGCTTCACTCTTCCACCAGGAAGCGCCCAGGCACTTCGTGCACTGCCCGGCTTCTCGCCCTACGATGAAAGCCGACGCTGCCTCAGTTGCCTCAAGCCAGGGGCGGGTGCAAAGGACGCCCCACGGGCGTTCTCCCTCAAGCTTGGTACGACCACGCGAGCTATAGGCCTTACACCGACAAGTTATGATCCTGAATTTGAATTCAGTCAAGATTTGTTAACAGCAAAACATGTTGACGGCATCAATATGACAGGCCTAGAGAAAATATAGACGACCATGTCCAACGTGTCGAAAAAGGTGATGGTAAATGCAAGCTTAACAAACATTCCTATACGAACTGCGCCGTTCGCTACACCAAGAATGACCCAGGGGATGTGATCGTGGACCAGGACGAGTACATTAAACAACTACGTCCTATCACACACCCCGAACTCACAGGAGCGGCGGCCGACGCCAAAGCCACCAAACTCATCGCCGACATGTTCGTCAGCCTGCGAGGGGCCCTCGCCTATGCCCTTCTTACTCAAGTCTGGCCCATGGTGCATGTGGTCTCTCTTGAGAAAATCCAAGAGCCCACCAACCTACAAGTCAGACCACTGAATGCTGTGACGCGAAAGCTGATCAGCAGCCCGGAGCGCATCACCTTCCCTCGGATGAAACCGACGAGCGAAGTTGACATACACAGTGATTCGGGGTATCGGAAGGGCTACGGCATACGCGGGGCCAACGTACTACGGCGAGGAAACTCGCCTCTAGGCAAACCCGTCGTTCACCTGTGTGACGGACTATGTAAATCACATCGACTGCAGGTGAGGTCCAGCTATGCCGCTGAGGCACTTGCAGCTGCACACAACCTTGATGAGTGCTACCCTACGCTCATCACTCTCCACGAGCTCAAGGCAGGGGCTCTGACTCGACGACAACTACGAGATATGCGTGAAGTTGGAGGCCTAGGTAGTAAAGTATCCCTTACCATAGACGCTGAGTCTGTATACAAATCGTTATCCAGCAAAGATTTGAAGATACCGACGGAACGGACTTTGCTGGGACATATCAGTTGGATACGTGAGCTCATGGATATAGGTATAGTGCATAATGTGCAGTGGTGTGATACTAGAGATATGACCGCAGATGGGCATACAAAGGGGAGTATCGATCGGGAGCTGCTTTTGGAAGTGATGTCAGGCACTCAGTCATTTAAGTATGACGTGAAGCAGTTTGTTCCCTTTCGGGGTCCCGAGGACAGAAACAAGCCTAAGTCTAATCAGTTTTCGTAGTCTGTCCTTGTTGCCCCCCGCGGTCCAGTTTGCCGGCGTGGGCGCCCAATACAGAGGCGCCCTTCTAGTTGCTCGGAAACGAGCCTTCCATTTCACGCTTGGTAACGAGCCTGTTCAGTCTGAGTCCGGCTCTTTGCCTTAATACCAGTTTGCTCGGAGAGGTATAGCCTGTTTGGCTTACCTCTAGCCGGGCCGATAGCCCTTTGATGTCCAAGGGGCTATCTCGTATTTGCGTGAAATGCTTTGCGAGGGAACTCGCCTTACAGTCTGGTGTTAGGCCAGACTGTACGCACTGTTTCTCTTGCAAGCAGTCGTGCGCGCGGCCTTTGTAGAGCCTCACGGCTGGGCGGCTATACTCACCGTCTCTTCCCCTCCCGACTTTAAGGGTAGCTCTTTGGGAGATGTTATATAGGATCGGGAGTATAGCTCGCGCGCCGTTGCCTTTGGCTCAAGGCACGCGCGCCCTATTTGCCCGGACACTGCTTGTGTTCGCTATGTGCTGGAAAGATCATTACATCGATCTTATCCTATCTTATCCGTCCATTCCTCTTACTGAACCACCTCAGTACGATACCGGACGCTATTTGCCATCCGCTTCCCATGGAATCGGATGCTATTTGACTTACCATAGTCACTTCAGACTCCATGCGCGAGCGATTGCGTACCAAGTTCGCCAGCACCTCGGTCACAGCTTGCTTGCATCTATCGAAGTTGATGGTAATCGCGCGCCGCGAGAAGCGGCCCTGAATCCTGTCAGACACCAAATTCGGATGAGCCTGTGCGGGGTATAGGTTCCCAGGTCAGGTGTCGCACTTGTGGAGGCAGTTCGCTATGGAGAATGGCGTCCAGGTTTTTCAGATACCCCTTGCCACCAGGGCCTTTTTAGGGGAATGATCATGGTGCCCACGAAGAGCACAGCCAACGGCATAGATTTGCATAGCCCCCATACCTTGGCGTATCACAAGGAGTTCGGGAGCACTGTCTGTCTTGCCTGTGGTTGTGTAGCCACCCAAGTGGTCAGGAAGTTGAGTGAGCAATGCTCAGTGCTTTTGAATAAATATGGCAAGCAGCAGTTGAGGAGAGTGCAGCAAGGCCTGCCACCAGGAACCTCAAAACTTGCCAAGCGCCAAGTGGCCCAGAAGAAGATCCTGCGATAAACCTGTTCAACTCTGCCTGAGGCTGGAAGTAACAAAAAGGTTCATTTCCCCCAAAACCGTTTGAATACCCTGAAGCATGCCAGAACATTATTCTGGGGACTCTAACGCCACGGATCAGCCTGACTGTTGCGTCTTGACGATCCGGAGTCGTGCCAGAACGCTATCCTTGGGACTTCAATACAGCGAAGCATCGTAACTGTTACGCCGTCATAATCATATGCTTTTCCAAGACACAGTTGTTGGTACGTTGGCCATGGGAAACCGTGCAGCTCTTGCAATGTTTAAAAAGGAATGTGCGCGGCACTAATGAGATAATCATTTATTGAAAAGGAGCAGCCCTCAATCCGTGAAGCTCTTGCAATCCGTATCCATTTTGGCTCAAGGCAGTACTCGCAGTAAGTTTGTTGGCGCCACCGGCAGCGCGATCCTTCCAGGTCTTATTGCGCAACCTAATTCTCATCGCGTGTCGCTGACGAGCCATGGGAAGTGTCCTCGGCAAGTGTTGCAAGTTCCTTGGGTCGGCCACGGAGTCGACGCAGCAGGGGCCCACGGCAGACCCAACCGGTCCCGCAGCAGACGCTGCTGCAATTGTGGCTGATCACGCAGGGATTTCCGACCCGTCCGAGATCACATGGGAGGTGGCCACGAAGATGAAGGAGTGCCTGGAGGATTACCCCAACATCATCCAGTTTGACAGCTCCACGCTGCAAGCGTCTGTCAATGTGGTTGCAGATGTTCTCCAGGGAGCTAACCTACGCATCAGCCTCGCGGCCCCGATCGAGCTGGTCTGCCGGGCCGTGGCGAATACCGCCATCAAGGTGACTGACGGCACGGACGTCGGAGAGGTTCTGAGCAAAGTTATGGAGAGCAACCAGAACATTATCCAGAGAGACGTCGAGGCCTTGCGCGAGATGCATCTGAAGAATGCCATGGACGAGATCGAGGTGCTGGCCGCAATGAGCAAGACGTTGATGGAGCTCAAGGCGGAAGGGTCCTCAAACTTTGAGAATGAGCTCACGTTCTACGTTCAGAGAGCGCTCTCGGCAGAAGGGCACGCGAGGGACGCGTTCAACGTTGCCAAGGGTAAGCTGGACGAGAAGGTCCGCGCAACGACGCTGATGGCGTCGGCGATGATGGCTCAGACCTTGGACCCGAAGCGGGAGAGTCGAGTCATCGCCGACCGGCTGACCCATGCCCTGAAGAAGCTCTTCAACGACGAGGACATGCAGGTGCTGATCGGCCAGGAGTGCGGGTCATGGGACAAGGTGCTGTGCTTCAGGGAGAGGCGGCAGCGTCGCCTCCGGGAAGCTTTCCAATGCCTGGTCCACGTCGAGGGATGGATCGCGCAGCGCGCTCGGGGGCGGCAAACCGTCCTCAGCAGCTTGGACAAGCCCTTTGACATGAATCGCATCATCCAGCAAGGCATCCTCGACCCGAAGGGCAGCACAGTGGGCGCGCTCGCTCGCCTGGCCGGCGGGGAGGAGTACAGCGACATGGAGTTCGGCATATTGCAGAGCTACTGCGGGCAAAGGCCGAAGATGCAGGCGGCGACAGCTCTCTCGGGCTCCAGAGACAAGACCCTGAAGCTGTGGGAGCTCTCCACGGGCAGGTGCCTCCGGACCCTCACGGGCCACACGGTTTGGGCGTTGCGTAATGGAGGGGTCATAAATGGGGGGGTGGCGAGCGCGGTCCGAAAAGGTACCCAAACGGTACCTAAACGAGCCCCCTGGGGCTCTGGAGGGGCCCGAAAGGGGCACGAAAGGGGACCTTTTCTGACCCCCCCATTTGTGACCCCCCCGTTAAGCCACGCCCAAGGACCTGGTGAGGTGCGTCGTCGCGCTGGGCGAGGACGGGGCCCTCTCGGGCTCCGACGACCAGACCCTGAAGCTGTGGGAGCTCTCCGCGGGTAGGTGCCTCCGGACCCTCGAGGGCCACACGGGCCAGGTGATGTGCGTCACCGCGCTGGGCCGGGCCCTGGCACGCGACGCGTAGGGACGGATCCTTGATCCGCCGCCGCTTTTTCGTGAGCTCCGCCGTCGCGCCCTGGCGGTGCTCGGGCGAGCCCGCGGCGCAACGATCTCAAGCCTCATATAAGTCTTCATTGAAATCTTCATTTCCCCTCCCCCTCCTCCTCCTCCTCCCCCTCCTCCCCCGCCAGATGAGGCTGCCATAGTAGATCGAGAATTTAGTAACAGTTCCGTGCAATCCCTCCATCCGCCCCCGCCCCTGCCTCTCGGGGCCTTCCTCATAGGGCAGGGGGGCGTCGGCCGAAAACGGCTCCGGGTGATGAAATGTTGCGTTCCTCCCCCCCTGACCACCTCGGCCAGGGTGCTTCTGGCTGTAACCCTCTAGCCGGACTCCCACGTCGAGGACTCTTGGGAGGGAACATTTCGAGTGAATTGATTTATTGCATTGTTGCTGCGTTGCCGTGACGTCGGCAATTTCATTTTGGGCAGTACGTAATGTTGCACGGTGCGTGAGGCATAGTGTAGCGCGGTATTGCGCATACAGGAAAAAAAACATCGTGAAACTCTTGCAAATGTTTGGAACGAGTGTGCGCGGCGCTAAGGCGAGAGCCACATATTGAAAAGGAATTGCCTTCAGTGTGTGACACTCTTGCAAGTGTTAAAACGAGCGTGCGCGGCGCTCAGGCGATAGCCACATTTTGAAATCGACCCTCCCTCAATCGGTGAACATGTCGCCAGTTCGCCCCATCGTCAGGGGTCATACATTGTAAGGAGAGTATCTCAGGGGAGAATCCGCTCGGCCCAACTTTCGACCAGCCTCGGTGTGGGACAGGGGGAGGGGGGGAAATTTTTTTATGGGGAAACAGGCTTGGAGGAAACGGAGGAGCGATGAGGTGCGGAGGAGGAGGAGGAGGAGGAGGAGGCGGCGGAGGCGGAGAGGGGCGAGGCACCGCTACCCTCCGTCCTACCGTTTACCTATTCACGGGGGGCCTCGGGTAGGCCTTCGGCAGGCGTCTTTCTCAGAGGAGAAGAAGGCATTTTACGCCTACCCTTTCCTTGTTTCCTTTTTTTGAGGGACTCTCCTCCGGGACCTCGAAAAACGGTCTCAAGAGGAGGAGGAGGAGGATGCGGAGGCGGCGGAGGAGGAGGAGGAGGGAGTGAGGAGGAAGGTTGAGGAGCGACGCGGCGGAGGAGGCGGAGGGGTGAGGAGGTGCGGAGGAGGATGAGGAGGAGCGAGATGGAGGAGGAGGCGGAGTGCCGGAGGAGGAGTAGGAAGGAGGAGGACGGGAGAACGAGGCGGAGGAAGGCGGAGAGGAGGTAGGAGGAGGAAAGGAGGAGGAGGTGGCGAGGCGGAGGCGGACGGAAGGGAGGAGGAGGGGAGGAGGCGGAGTGAGGAGGAGGAGGAGGGGACCGCACCGAGCCGGAGGAAGCGAGAGGAGGGCCGGAGGAGGGGAGGAGGAGGAGGAGGAGGAGGTCGGGAGGAGGAGGGGAGGAGGAGGAGGCGGAGGAGGAGGAGAGGAGGGGGAGGGGTAGGAGGAGGCTAGTAGCAGGAGGAAGGAGGATGGATGAGGCGGGAGGAGAGGAGGAGGATGAGGAGGAGGGGAGGAGGAGGCGGAGGAGGAGGAGGAGGAGGAGGAGGAGGAGGGGGAGGCACCGATACCGCCATCCTTCCCTGGTTTTTCTTTTTTGGGGGCCTCCTGGGAGGCCTTCGGCAGAGGCTTCTCAGAGGAGGAGAAGGCACCGATACCGCTACTCTTTCTTTATTTCCTTTTGTTCGGTACTCTCCTCAGGGACCCTCGGCCGAGGCGTCTCAGAGGAGGAGGAGGAGGAAGAGGAGGAGGAGGAGGAGGAGGAGGAGGAGGAGGCACCGATTCGGCTGCCCTTCCTTCGTTCTCCCCTTCTTGGGGCCTCCTGGGGGGGGGGCGCCACGGCAGGATTCGCCTCGAGATCCTGGTCGCAGCGCACCCTGGAAGAGGTCCGGAGGAGTAGCGGTAGCGGTGCCTTTGGTTTTGCCCAGGTTCGCCACGTGGCCGCCTCGTGGCCGCCTCGGTGCCGCAGGCCCACGCGAGGAGTCTGCTGGCTTGGCGGTCACCGCGCTTGGGGGGCAGCTTGCACCACAGAGGTACCAGTCGGGAACTTTTGGATAGCGTGCCCACAGATCCAACGTACTGAAAAAATCAAAACGGAGGTTTTTCGCTAGTTTCGGCGGCGCTCCGCGGGGCGGCGACGGCGTGGTGCTGCAGGAGCAGTGCGTGCCCTCCTCGTCCTTCCGTGGCGTGCGACGGTGAGTGCGGCGGCGGGCAGCCTGCCCCGGCCGCCAGGGCAGAGCCTGGCCCTCCCCGTGAAGGGGTTTGGGAGGCAGGCGCGGCGATGGAGGAGGACGGCAGGGCCGCCCTCCAGGCGCCGTGTCGTGCGTTCGATGGTGCGCAGGGCGGCGCTGCAGGCGAGAGCGCGCCGCGGCCGCCGCTGCTTCTGGAGAGCCTGGCGGGCCCAGGCAGCGACGACGGCTTCGATGGCGGCTTTGTGGACGGCCCTGTCGACGGCGACGCGGACGGGGGCGCGGCCTGCCCAGGGCCCCCCGCCCGTTCGGAACCCGACAGCCACGTCCTGGAGTCGGAGTGCGGGTTCGTTTCTTTTCTGGGCGACTTCTCGGTGGCGGCGGTGGCGTGTGCGGCCCAGGGGCCGAAGTCGGGAGTTGAGTCACTCCTGGACTGGGCCGAGGCCCGCGCCCTCTGCTTCCGCCTCGACAGTGCAGGTTGTCCAGGTGCCGAGGAGCGCGCGCGGCTCCTCGATGGTCTTTTGGCCCGTGCGCGTTGCACGACGCGGCCCGAGAGTAGTGCGTTAGGCGGGCAGTTGCATTCTGCATGTAGATTTGTTCTCGCCTTGTGGTGCGGCCGCGGTGACGGCCCGGCGCGGCCCCCGCGGGGAGAGGCGGCCCTAGGCGGCCCCTCTCGGGAGGGCGTGTCCTTTTTCTCCTCTTCCTGCCTTTGAGGTCCAACCAACCAACACGCAGGGGCACGGCAGAACACATAGATGATCTATTCGCACAGCCGCACCCACAGGCACACGCACATAGGCACGCATGCGCGCTGGCACACGCACGCGCACACACAGACATAGACACACACACGCATTCACACGCACACACAGAAAGGCAACATACGTTCACGCAGACCGCAGGAGCACGGCAGAGCAGCACGGCATAACACAGCAAGGCCGAAAACCACCACGGACGGACACACTTGCACATATTCCACGCACGCACGCGCACGCGCAAACGCACGCACGTCGCGACATATCTGCGCGGCAAACCAACAAAAGCATTGTAGGGGGATCCCCGAGAGCGGCCGGGTTCGTCCGCCATCTTGCTCATCGCATCTTCGCGGCCCTAGACTGAACAGCATAAGATTGACATGCGGAGCGGCGGCTGCGCGTGTCAATCTTATGTTGTTCCCCCCAGGGCCGCGAGGACGGGGGGAGGGGAAGGGGGGGCGAACGCGGCCGCCCCGGGGGTGGGTCGAGGCCGACCGAGGAGGCCGAGGAGGAAGAGGACGAGCACGACGACGAAGAGGGGGAAGCGACACGTGCGGCCAGCCACAAAAAAAAAACCCAGAGGGAACAACATAAGATTGACATGGGCAGCCGCCGCTGCGCATGTCAATCTTATGTTGTTCCCTCTTGTGCATTTTGTTTTGGGTGGCTGGCCGCGGATGTTGGTTCCCCCCGTCCCCCCGTGGCCGTCGTCGCCGTCGCCGTGGTCGTCGTCTTCGTCGTCGTCGTGGTCGTCGTCTGCGTCCTCGTCCTCGTCCTCGTCCTCGTAATTCGTCGGTTCTCGTCCTCGTCGTCCTCCGATTCGGTCGTCCGCCCCCCACCCCCGAGAGCGGCCGGGTTCGTCCGCCATTTTGCTCATCGCATCTTCCCGGCCCCAGACTGAACAGCATAAGATTGACATGCGGAGCGGCGGCTGCGCGTGTCAATCTTATGTTGTTCCCCCCAGGGCCGCGAGGACGGGAGGAGGGGAAGGGCGGGCGAATGCGGCCGCCCCGGGGGTGGGTCGAGGCCGACCGAGAAGGCCGAGGAGGAAGAGGACGAGCACGACGACGAAGAGGGGGAAGCGACACGTGCGGCCAGCCACAAAAAAAAGAACCCCAGAGGGAACAACATAAGATTGAACAAGCGCAGGCCGCCGTGCTGGGATGTCCATATTATGTTGTTCCCTCTGTGCATTTTGTTTTGGGGGCGAAGGCTGGCCGCGGAAGTTGTTCAGACCCTATCTCGTCCGTACGCCCCCTTTCTGTCCCGTCGTTCCTCCGCCTCCGGTCGTCCGCCCTCCACCCCCGAGAGCGGCCTGGTTCGTCCGCCATCTTACTCATCGCATCTTCGCGGCCCTAGACTGAACAGCATAAGATTGACATGCGGAGCGGCGGCTGCGCGTGTCAATCTTACGTTGTTCCCCCCAGGGCCGCGAGGACGGGAGGAGGGGAAGATCGGGCGAATGCGGCCGCCCCGGGGGTGGGTCGAGGCCGACCGAGGAGGCCGAGGAGGAAGAGGACGAGCACGACGACGAAGAGGGGGAAGCGACACGTGCGGCCAGCCACAAAAAAAAGAACCCCAGAGGGAACAACATAAGATTGACATGCGCAGCCGCCGCTGGGCATGTCAATCTTAGGATGATTCCCTCTGTGCATTTTGTTTTGGGTAGGTGGCCGCGGATTTGTTGGTTCCCCCCGTCCCCCGTGGCGACGTCGCCGTGCCCTTCGTCTCGTTTCGAACGTCGTTCGGGTCGTCGGTCTGGTCCTCGTCCTAGTTCCTCTTCCTCTAATTCGTCGGTTTCGTCTCGTGTTCCTCCATTCGGTCGTCCGCCCCCACCCCTAGAGGGCGGGTTTCGTCCGCCATTATTGCTCATCGCACGTCCCGGCCCAGGGAGCGCGAGCAATAGATTGACATGCGGAGCGGCGGCTGCGCGTGTCAATCTTATGTTGTTCCCCCCAGGGCCGCGAGGGCGGGAGGAGGGGAAGGGCGGGCGAATGCGGCCGCCCCGGGGGTGGGTCGAGGCCGACCGAGGAGGCCGAGGAGGAAGAGGACGAGCACGACGACGAAGAGGGGGAAGCGACACGTGCGGCCAGCCACAAAAAAAAGAACCCCAGAGGGAACAACATAAGATTGACATGCGCAGCCGCCGCTGGGCATGTGAATCTTATGTTGTTCCCTCTTGTGCATTTTGTTTTGGGTGGCTGGCCGCGGATGTTGATTCCCCCCTTTCTCTTCCCCGTCGCCCCCCTTTCTCGTCCCCGTCGTCCTCCGCCTCGGTCGTCCGTCCCTCCCCCCTCGAGAGCGGCCGGGTTCGTCCGCCATCTTACTCATCGCATCTTCGCGGCCCTAGACTGAACAGCATAAGATTGACATGCGGAGCGGCGGCTGCGCGTGTCAATCTCATGTTGTTCCCCCCAGGGCCGCGAGGACGGGAGGAGGGGAAGGGCGGGCGAATGCGGCCGCCCCGGGGGTGGGTCGAGGCCAGACGGGAGGCGAGGAGGAGGAAGAGAAAGG